GCCTTGGAAAATGCCAATTTTGTTCCCTGGTCCATTGCCAGAAAAGAAGAAATAATAAAGTGTAATTTTCAGTCTAATGTAAGCAGAGCAATGCAGTTGGGGGAGGCAGTTGGAAGTGGAGGCACAGACCAGGACTAACCTCTGCCTCTGACGCCCAATCAGTTTAAGGTGTGGGAACTTAAAATCCTTTCTAATGTAGGCACATTTTCTAATCTCAGGCAGGGAACAGAGCTCCTAAGAAGACTACAGAGGGTAGGAATTTCACAGTTTCAACAGAACAAACTCTGTTGTAAGGGAATCTGACTCACAGTATTCTGGAACTCTTCAGATTTTCTGCACCTTACAGTTGTCTTTTAATATATAAATACCACCACACAGAATAATAGAATCATTAAGGTTAGAAAAGACTTCCAGATCATTGACCCTGAGAGGAGCTCTGCTGGTTAAGAGTATGGTGCTGATAACACTGTAGGGGCCATTTACTTAAGAGCTGGACTTGATGATCCTTGTGGTCCTTTCTGGTTTCTGTGATCTGTGAATCTGATGTTTCACTGAACACTGCCACCCCAATTAAACTATAGCACTAAGTGCCATGTCCAGTCATTTCTTTAATGCATCCAGGGAAGGAAGTGTTGATTGTTGATTGTTGAACCTTATAAAATTGGCTTCAGCCCATTGATCCAGCTTGTCCAGATCCCTCTGCAGATCCTTCCTGCCCTCAAGTAGAATGCATCAACACTCCCACTCAACTTAATGTCATCTACAACTTTACTGAGGGTGCATTCCATCCCCTTGTTCAAATCATTAATGAAGATGTTGAACAGGGCTGGCCCTGATACTGATCCCTGTGGGACACTTAGTGACTGGATTCCAAATGGAGGCAGTGCCGTTCACCACCATTCTCTGGACCTGGCCACTCAGCCAGTTTTAAACCTGGAGAGGAGTGTGCCTGTCCAAGCCATGGGCTGCCAGCTTTTCCAGGAGAATGCCCTGGGAAATGGTTTCAAAGGCTTTGCTGAAGGTCAGGTAGGCAACATCCACAGCCTTTCCCTCATCCACTGGGCCACCTGGTCATAAAAGGAGATGATGTTGGTCAGGTAGGACCTGTCTTCCCTACCCCCAGACCCCCCTGGGTCTAATCCCCTTGTTCTTCTGTACGTGCTGCATGATGGCACTCAAGATGTTTGGTTCCATAACCTTCTCCAGCACTGAGATCAAGCTGACTGGCCTGTAGTTCCCTGGATCCCCCTTCCAGCCTTTCTTGTAGGTGAGTCACACTGGCCAACCTCCATCCCACTGAGACCTCCCTAGTTAGCCAGGGCTCAGGATAAATGATGGAGAGGGGCTTGGCCAGCTCTTCAGCTCCCTTGCTACCCTCGGATGAATTCCATCTGGTCCCACAGATGTGTGAGGGTCCAAATGGCTCAACAGTCCACCAGCTACTTCCTCTTGGTAGTGCAGGGGGTCTACTCTGCTCCCTGTCCCTGACTAGTAGCTCAGGGGTCTGGTTGCCCTGAGGATCACTGGTCTTTCTGTTGAAGACTGAAGCAAAGAAGGCATCAGGTACTACAGCCTTCTCCTCACTTTGGTTACAGTGTTCCCTTCTGTAGCCAATAAGAGATTAATATTTTCCTTGGCCCTTTTTATGTTGTTAGTGTATTTATAAAACCACTTTTTATTATCTTTCACAGCAGTGGCCAAATCAAATTGTAGCTGAGCTTTTGCCTTTCTAATTTTCACTCTTCATAACCTAATGACATCCTTGTGCACTTCCTGAGTTTCCTGCCCCTTTTTCCAAAGTTCATAAACTCTTTTTTTCCCTGAGTTTCAGTAAATGCTCCCTATTCAGTCAGGCTGATTTTCTTCCACACCAGCTCACCTTCCAGCTCATGGCAATGGTCTGCTCCTGTACGTTTAAGATTTCCTTCTTAAAGTTTGTCCAGCCTTCATAGAGCCCTTTTTTTTTAAGGGCTGTTTCCCAAGGGACTCTGTGAACCAGTGTGCTGAACAGACCCAAGTCCATGCTCTGGAAGTCCAAGGCAGAGGCTTTGCTGATCCCCCTTCCTTACTTCACCAATGACCAGAAATTATTATTTTGTGGTTGCTGTGCCCAGGATGGCCCCGACCACAACACCTCCCACCAGCCCTTCTCTGTCAGCAAGCAGCAGGTCTAGCAGAGCACAGCCCCAGCAAGCTCCCTTACCAGCTGTGTCAGGGAATTACCTTCCACACACTCCAGGAACTCCCTAGTTCCTGCTCTCTGCCGTGATGAGCTGCCAGCAGATATCTGGGAAGCTTTGCATCACCTGCAGTCCAGCTCCAAGCTCTGGCACCTTTAGTCACCCTCTGAAGGCATCAGCTTCTCTGGGGACAGTACCAAGGTGCAGGTTCAGGCACATGTGTAAGGCTGTGTGATAGTTTCCTCTCTGTAAAACTATCAAACATTCACATGTAATTCCCAGATAAAAGCTACAGTGAGTTTGAGCTAATTAAATTATACTATGAATAAATTAGAGTGTGAATAATTCATTTAAGAGGCAAGGAGTTCAGTCTTTCTGCATATTTTGTAATGTTACTCAGCGGAACAGCCACATCCCAGGTAAAATTGGCCACCAAAGCCCTGATATGAGATGCATGAGACAGGGCATAAACACTTATTCCATTGCTTAGTTATTGAGAGTAAAGTTGTCGGCTTCCTGGTGGGGAATGGTTCAGGCCAACATGGGTACTGATTAGCATGTACAGTAAACAAAATTAAAAAACCACAGGCTTCACTTGCTTGGGAAAACCACTGTATGTTAAAATCCTAAGAGAAAGGCTTTTCTGAGCATTTGTGTAATGTATTGTTGGGAGTCATGTGTGCCTAAAAGAATATGTGTGTTTTGTGGACAGCTGACCTGCCCAGGAGAACACAAAATGCAAATCTGATGTAAAATGTCAAAGAGCAAACAGTGTGAGTTAAGGCTCACAGCACACATCTTCAGGCTGTGCTGCTGTGAAAGCAGAGTGCAGCATCTGAGCTGATGCCAGTGAGTGCTCAAAAGATGCAGATAAATCCTACAACTTCAAATAAATGCCAGTTTCCTCATATCTTTCTGATGATACAAGCTGCTTTATGGTTCTGGTTTGAGCTGTGTGCCAGCAGGGATGATCAGGTTGCACTCATTTAGTTTGTATTACCTAGGAGATAAGCAGCTCCCATTTTCCAGGCATAAAATAGTAACTCCCTTTCTCAGAAATGAGCTGTTGATTGTTAATTCCACTAGAGAGCTGGGATCCAGCTGTAATCATTCACTGGGACACAGGTAAGTTAGATTTTCTTGTTATAAAATACAGTTTCACTGAATGAGAAGTTGATTTTCTAATATTAAATAGGATTGATAGTAGCCTCATGCAAGTGTCCCATCAGTCAACATAAACCATGGATATAATCTGCTTTTTGTTGCACTATTGCAGTACTTCATAATATTACAGAGTTAAAATCTCCGTGATATGGCCAGTGACAATTTATTGTCCAAGTGGAAATCTTTTGAATTTGTCAATTCTTTTTATTATTTTACAAGTTGACTAAAGTGTGACAGTAGTAACAGTAGCCTGAATTGAGCAAATATTTATTTATGGTGAAGATCATTTGCTGTGGAGGGAGATTTTTGTTTACATCTGGAGAGCATGGTATAAATGGGTTATCTGTTTGGCACCAAGGGGATGCGAAATGAAGTTGTAGTTATGTAGATGAGATAGGAATATCATGGCTTTAAAAAATTAAGTAATTTTGGCTACTTCTGAGCTTAATTTTTTAAAAATACATCATTGACCAAGTAACAAAGAAAACAGTGAACTGTTTTAGTGCCCTTTTAAAACCCATTCATTGCTGCAGAGAAGAGACCACAGCAATTAGCAGCTGGCAAAGCATCACACTCAGCAGCTGCTGGTTTTTTAAGTGATGTTTGTGGTTTCCCTAAATACAAAACAAGATGGGATTTTGCCATAGTTTAGAAATTGTATTTTCAGGAAAGTGAATGTTTGGCAACTAAGATCCTGAAGCAGAGGAAAAAAAGGAGGTTTGTCCCAAGCCACTGCAGAAACCCATGTGAAAGTCAGATGTAAAAGCCAAATCAACCAGCTCCAGTATTGTGCTAAATGACCAGCTGAGCCCTCTTCCATCCAGTGTTTCCTTTTCCTTCCTGTAGATGGTGGACAAATAAATATCTAGGCTAATGTCTTTACATACCACATGTCTATTTTAAGCCCTATTTATTTCTGCTTTTAATATCACAGTAGTTAGAGGTTTATCTCCCAGTGGACCAAAGAGCTTATTTCTTGCTCCAAGGAGTTAAAAGTTAATAACAGGCATGGAACAGTGAGAGGTTAGAATCAGCAAGCTCAGGCAGGTGAAAGCAAGGGACTGGGCTATGAGAGACCATGGTTCTTTTCTTAGCTCTGCCTCTGATGTGCTGAGTGGTGCTGGATAAACCACATCTGCCCCTTGACAGCACATGTTTTCTCTGTCTAGATTGACAGTGTTTGTAGGAGAGGATGCCCTTTCCCCATTACACGTTAATGAAGAGTTCATATCAATGAATTTCATTCTAAAGCATCTACAGTGTCTACTCTTTTTCTGTGCATGACAGAAGAGCAAGCTATTGCCAGTATGTTTACCTCTGCCATTTGGGGGCCTCTCATTCCTCTGGAAGCACCTGAAGGCTGTAATAGGTGGGAAAATTTTGGCTCACATCAGCCTTAGAACCATAGGCTTTGCTGCACTACCAACAACTAGCAGTGGTCATGGCAGAAGTGGCCAGGACACAGACCCAGGAGGGTTGTGTTTGCTCAAGGGTTGTCAGGTTCTACCTGGCTAGTTTTTGAAGAGCCTTAAAAATGAGTGTCACTATTACATTAATGTTATGGCTTTACTTATTTTATAAAAAGAGGTGAGTTGTCTGAAGAAGGCAAAGTTAATTTTTATGTCTTCTGTTTTCTCTTGCTGACTCTCTCATAAGGACCTGAAGATTACTGTGGCACTCTCACCGTTGAACAAGAACCAAAGTCACTGCAAGGTTAGTGACTTGTAGCAAGAGTTTTTCAGCTCCTATTGCAGATGTGCAGCAGTTTGCACAGCTGGTGCATGTGCAGCTTGGTAATGTGACTTGGAATCAAGTGATGCTGTTCCTTGGTGTTCCCAGGAGGATTCCTGATCCCTCCTCTTTTCTGGCAGAGCACTGAGTAATGAGAGCAGCATGCTGAGGGGGCTAGTGGAGCTTCCATCAACTTAAGAATAGACTGAACTGCCAGGAACAGTTACTGCCCAGATAAGCCTTTTTAGGACCAGAGAACAAAGCAAATCAGTGTTTCTCAGCCTGTGGACCTCACACCTCTGGTAGTCAGTAGGCAGTCCATGAAACAGACTCAGCAACCATAAAATGGATGTATTCCTCCTTATATCAACAAACAGAAAAGATAAGGGCAAAATGCACTTACTGAATGAACACCTGAAGATAAGCTTCATTATTTGTTTGGTTGTTTATGGAAACCATTGTGCCAGTACTTGTTTTTTCTTTTCCTCATAACACTGGGAGAATCCTTGGTGTTTGGGGAAAGAAAAAAAAAGTGCTGTGATGATGTTTTTATTGAAGTGTAAAAAATAAAGGAGAGAATGGACTCTAAAGACTGTTACCAGCTCTGCTTTTTTATGGTCCTGTATCCTCTGTGATTTCTACTTCTGCTCTTTTCTTTATCATGTTTTGTCACTATTTATGGTTCTCTTTCTTCCTGTTATTAAAAAAAAAAAAGATAGATAAATAAAGATAAGTTGTAGGTGCAGAAAATACTCCCCAGCAATGTTTACATCAGAAAAAGAAGCTCTTCTATCTCTCAAACTGTGAGGATAATTTAGCTTGCTTGTACAGAACTGATAGATCCACTGTTCAGAGGCTTGTGTTCTTTCTCTTATTTCTCACTGTTCCATCTCCATTTCCCAAAATACTGTGCCTTCTTCCTGTAATTTGCCAGCTCTTTGAGTTCCAAGTTGCCTGCCCTTTGTGCCTCTAACACTTAGGATGCTTCCCCACTTCCTCTCCAATTATTCAGTTCTTGCATTTTTTTACTTTCCTGTCACTGCCTTCTGCCTGCCATTTTCGTCCACACAAAAATACCTTTTCTGCTTTTAAAATAATTAAATTAGCAGAGCTGATGGAAATCTAGGTGAAGTAATACTCTGAGCACTGTGCTTTTCAATTGATGCATTACTCAATGCACATTAGCCAACCTCCTGTAGGCATCAGTGAATGACAGAAATTAATATTTGATGAATATGTTCAACAACAATAGCATCATTCAAACACTTTACTCAATAAAGTACATTCAGCACACTCAGAAGTTAATGGTGCATTCAGGTTACTCTGTTTGCTCGCCAGAACATGTGCCCAACCCCAAGAGGGAAAATCAAGTCACTGATAAATGTGATAGAAATGGGGTGGGAAGCCTTTTCTGGTCATTTGTGCCTTTCATGAGCAGTACAAAATGTATGTGTATGTTGGTGGGGGTGTTTAAATCCCATATAGGGAATAAAGGATGTATGTGATGAGGAGGAGAGATTATTTGCTCTGTTTCTTGACTGGCAGATTTGTTTACATGCTTATCACTCGCACTTCGCTAGAAATGAGAAAAACAAATCAACATATTTCTAATCTTCAGCTTTGCTTCAAACTGGGGTGTGCATGTGTGTATTGAACAGAGGGTTGAAGTAAGTCTAACCACAAATCCCTGCTTCTCACTTCTTGCTCCATTTAATGTTTCCTTGAGTACTTGGTGCAAATAACCTATCTTCTACTGCTTAACTCTCTGTAATGCCTCCTTGGTAATTTCCAGTAGATGCCAAGTCTATTTTGTGGTCTTTGTTTCCAAAGTGCCAAGGAGATCCCCCTTTAAAACTTTTGTAACTTTTTAAAAACTTTGAGTAGTTTCATTTTTAGCTTCTGCATTGGACATTACCCTGACACAAGTTGATGTCATCTACATTTCCCACAATCTGCTCAATTTCTTTAGCTAGCTTCCCTTTGTTTCTTTCTGCACAAAAAGAACCCAAGGCTTAAATCTCTCCTTGGCTGCAAGGATTTGGATCACGCTTTTCCTCTCTTGTCCTTACATTAGCCAGAATATAATTTTGCTAAAGCATCATGCCCCAAAACTACTCAGTGTCTGCTGCCATGTGTACTGCCACAAAATACCACTGCCATATTTTTCCTACTGCCCAGCTATGTGCTCACTAGATGATTTTTCTTTTTTCGTTGTCTGAATCCTCACCTTACTCTGAATTTCATACAGCCCACTTAATGTCTCTCCTCTAGCTGAGCTAACTTGACCCCTTATCAGTCTTGTGCCTGTGCTGTCCCATAAATCAATTTTCTCTTGTTTACCTGTTGAGTAACTCCTTGTCTTTGAAGTCCATTTTCTTTTTTCGCCCATTCCGTGTGTTCTTTGCAATGCTTCAGTGAATTAATTGTATTTTCAAAGGATGCAAAAGCATCAGTTAACATCCACATCTATAGCAACAGTGGTCATAAAGCAAACATAACCTTTTCAAAGCACATTTGCAGCTCCTTTGAACAGGGGAGCTGTGCTAGTTACAAACAATACTACAAAAGAGGCTCTGTAGCCGTTTAGGTTTGAAGCTGAACGTTGTTTTCTACAGCCATTTCTCATTATCAAGTTAAGGCTGCAACTGGAAAAAATATAACCAAAGTTCTGCAGACCCCTGGCTGCAGAAGCACTGTGGGCCACAAGACCTGCCCTGCAGTCTTTCAATAAATTTTCATTTCTCTTCAACAGAGCACAATGACCAGGAACCACTTTCAGTTCTGTGGAATCCCTGATGCCTCATTACTAAACATCTTGGTAACAGAATGTGTTACTCTCTTTCAAATTAGCTTTGCAGGAATTTTATCCATCCAATCTTCTGTCTGGCTGGATTTACCCCTTGCTCAGGATCTGTTGACTTTAGTAAAATTCTTGATCCCTGTTTCCTTCGGTCAGGACTTCTTATTCTCCTTTATATTGCTCTTCTCAATGTGGGATTGGCAAAGAAAGTGTAAAGTTGATCTTTTCTAATCCCTCTTGCTGCTCAGTTAAGGAAGTAGCAGCTCAGCTTTGGGAAAAAGAGACCTCAAGGTAAATTTCTCAATCTGTATTTAGGTATAACCATGGCCTGATATCCACCAGTGTTGGTTCCCACTGATTTTTGTGCCTTGCTGGTGACCCAGCATCTCTTCCATTTCTGTTCAGCGGGAGGCTCAGAACTGGTGTAACTCCAACCATGGCCTGATAGGTGAAATCAGGCATTTTACATCAGAAAGGGATGGTGCAGAGTGGTGTTGTACATGGTATATAGATGGTGTTATAGTGGTCATCAGCAAAAGCCCCCTTGCAGCCACACTTGTTTTCCATGGAATAACAAAATTCAGAATTCCCTCCAACAGTCCTTGTGCACATCTTAAAGACTTAGAAGAGGCCTCTTGAGGTTTTCCTTCAAATCTCCAGAGGACAGCTCATCCACAAGATGCACATGCACGTGCTAACATTTCCCAGTGAATGCTTTGTTTCCTTGCCTGTGATTTATTACATAGTGGTGTGCTCATATTTGCTGTTTGGCTCCTTTGAGACTGTTGTGACTGTGTGTTGCTTATTTAGAAAGCATTAAAGCCTTGAAGCTCATGTCTTCAAAAGTTTGTTTTAAACTTCTGCTTGAACTCTGTGGAAGAGAGGAATAGCTCTTTAATGAAAAAGTAACCACTCTGCCAAACATATTTAAAAGCATAGGAGCATATGTCTGAAAGGATATAAGCTGGTATTTCACTGTTATCTTTTTTATCTGCAGCATAAAGGAGTAGCTTGGTAACCATTCTTGGCAGTAGAAATAAGGAATATATTAATTTCTGCAGCTGTCCCTCAGCTCCTCAAGCCAGTGCTCAGCTCTAGTGGTAGCAATGCAGGAATATCCAAATACCTTGCTTTCCTGCAGAAGCCTGACCATAGGCAGACATCATGAAGGGCTGCAGAACTGAGGGACAGCAAAAGAAACACTGAGCTTTCCATCTGTGTTGTGCCTTACAGAATCACAGAATCATTTAAGTCAAAAAGGACCTCCAAGACTGAGTCCAACCTTTGATCAATGCCCACCTCATCAACTAGACCATGGCACTAAATGCCTCCTCCAGTCGTTTCTAGAACACCTTTAAGGGATGGTGACCCCACCACCTCCCTGGGCAGCCGATTCCAATGCCTGAATACCTTTTCCATGAAGCTTTGTGATGCTGTGGCCTGATTACTACTCAAACTTGCCTGCAGATGAACTTGTTCATTCCATCAGCAGTACCTGCAGCTACAGCAGGCCAGTGGGATTTGTGTGTGCCTCTGCAGCCACAGAGGGGCACATTTTCTCTCCTGCTAGGCAGAATTTGCAGGAGCAGAAGATGGAATGAGGACATTAAATGACATAACACACGGAAACTTCTGATTTCCCTCCTCACCTCATGTCTCCCAGCTACTCTGTGTGCTGGGAATACCTCTACTTTTTGCTCTTACAAAAAAAGGAGCTTGATACCCCCAAGGATTCAGTCAGATGGGGGCTGGGATGGGGAGTCCAGGTGCAAAGGTGGACTCCCTTTGAGGAGATGGGGCCAGGTGCAAAGGTGACTGTATATTCTTGGTGGATACTTCAGGTCTTCTTTTGACACTGATGAGTCTCCCTGCCAGTGGCTCCTTAGACAGCTCTTCCAAAAGAAGTGTTCTAGAGTTAGGACAGGGAAAGACTTGTGCAGATAAGAAACTGTAACACACACACACACACAAAATATGTACACATATTTTGGAGTAATGATAAGAAATGCAACAAAAAAAATCCAATGAAGCAGGAAAATATTTAAAATATTGCACAAGTTTACCCAAAAGTTAGACAAAAAAACACAGACAAAAACAATCAATTTGCATTTTTGTAGTCAACTTAGTATGGGACACTTGGTTCCTATGCATAAATTTGAAAGTGAAATCTGACTTGATTGTGTGTAGTATTTGCATAACTGACAGGGCTAAGCTGAGTGTAATGCAGTGTAATTCAGTCAGCCTGAACTTGCAGAGAAAGCCCTACCTGACAGTCAGGAGACCCTCAGGGAGAACAGGCACATTTCTTACAGAGGACAGCTTAACACAATGATTAGACTTCAGCCTAATTGACAAAATGTATTTTAACAGCAAATAAATTTTGTTCAATAGCCTCAGAATGTATCAGAATTATTAAATTATCAGAAATAAGAACAGCTTGTTGTTCTTATTTAAATGCTTAATAACATTAAATTACTTCTAAATGCTTAATAATTTTAAATTGTTTCAGCTACTGGTTATATTTCATTTTGCATGAATGTCCCATTTGTCTTCACTCAAGAGGATGCATCTCTCTGATCTTGTGTTTCTTTGATACAGCATTTCCATCTTTCCTTGATGAGAAAAATGAGCTGGGCATTCCTACGTGATCTGCTGAGTGGAGTGAATAAATACTCAACAGGAATTGGAAGAATTTGGGTAGCTGTTGTGTTCCTGTTCCGCTTACTGGTTTATGTTGCTGCCGCAGAAAACATCTGGAAACATGAACATGATGAATTTGAGTGCAATATCAAGCAGCCTGGTTGTGAAAATGTCTGCTTTGACCATTTTTTCCCTGTCTCTCACATCAGATTTTGGGCTTTGCAATTAATCATGGTCTCCACCCCTTCACTCTTGGTTGTCTTTCATGTTGCTTACAGAGAGAACAGAGAGAAACACCACAACCAGAAACTTTACAAAAATCGAGGAAAGATAGATGGTGGATTGCTGTGCACTTACCTAATCAGCCTCATTTTAAAAACAGGACTTGAAATATTTTTTCTTGTTCTGTTCTATAAATTGTACAATGGATTCAAAATACCACGTCTTGTGAAATGTGACATAAAACCATGTCCCAATACTGTAGACTGTTATATTTCCAAACCCACAGAGAAGATGATTTTCCTCTATTTTCTGGTGGCAACTTCATGCCTGTGCATTGTATTAAATCTAAGTGAACTGAGTTATCTGATGTTCAAATACTCCATAAAATGTTATCTGAAGAGACACGCGAAGAACCAGCAAGGCTCAAAAAGCAATTGCTGTGAATCAGAACTCATCAGGCACAACAGAGCAGCAGCTGCAGGACGACTCCACAACAGCTCATCATCTTTGCCTCTGAATATGCAAGATGAACATGAAAAACATTCCCCGCTGACTTGAAAGAAGGCTGGAGACCACCCTCCCATTACACAAGCTGTTTTTGACAAATTGCTTTTCCAATCAGTGTTTTGCAGAACTATCCCTTGAAAGGATAGTTACATAGGAAATGCTGTTTCTCTGTTAGTTCCCCATTACTTGAGCTGATAAATTCAGTTACATTATGTATGTCGTACATAGAATCATTGAGACCTTTTCATGTTGAAAAAAAATGTAGAAGTTCTGAGAATTCCATGAAGCTTTAATATAAACAGAGATGCTTATGATAAATCATGCTGAAACAATTGCTCAAACAGTTGTGTACTGAATATTACACAGAATTGCTTTGGTACAAGAAAAAATGGGCTTTTTATATGCAGAGATAGGAAGAACCTGGGACTTATTAAGATGAACAGCAAGGGGTGAACAAGATTTATCAGGTGGGTGGATCAGACCTGGTAACTGCTGGAATGGCAATACGAAAGTGCTGGCATAGTGATTGCTGTGCCTTGAAGTAAGCTGGATAGTCACTAGTCCATTCCATTGTACTATGAAACATCTCAAAAAAGGAAGAACCAAGAAGAGGTAGACACATCTAGTTTAGCCCATGTGATAAAGACAGATTTGGTTATTTAGCTGTTTGTGGAGCACCTCCTTCTGGAATTGAGCCTTTATAGCTATTAGGGTATTAATAATCAGAAAACATCCTTTAAGAAAGGCACTTGCTCAAACTTGTGCAAGCAGCATGTGCCAGGGTATGGAGTTAACTCCTGGTTACCTGCACCAAGCAGCTCCCATTTCATTAGATTTGTCTTCTGCTCTGCGGTAGTGACATTTAAGTGAACAGATCATTCCTACCTGGGATCTGAATAGAGAAATGCAGACCACACAGTACAGCACAACAGCAGCCAGTAGCCCCTAGTATTAATTAGCCTAGAATCTGGTCCCTTTATTAAGGCTGAAAATATGCTACTCCTTCAGTAGATTTCTCTGCTGCAGAAGAACACATGAAATCTAAAAATATGAAGAGCCCCAGTTGAAACAAAGTAAAAACGAATCACCTGTTCCCTCCCTCAAATTCCAAAGAATCTAATAAGCACCACACACCACTGCTCTTTGTCATCTGTGTTGTTTGGGCTAACAGGAAAGGGACAGAAATCAGCTAAGACATGTCTTCTGTTGAACCTAGGCTTCTAAGACAATGGAAAGTATCGCCTTATAAACTTCCTTCAGGGCAGTGTTCTTTCTGGTGCTGGCATGAAAGACCTAGGGACATACATCTAGTACTGAGCCTGATCAAAATGCAGTTTAGAGAAAAACACCAACTGAAGTGGAGCTGCCTGAATGCTGAACTAATTTTATTGTTTGTGCCAAGATAAGGAGGAAGAAACCGTGGCAAAAGCAGGCCAACTATTTTTTGTCTCTGAGGCCCCCTCTGGCCCCATGGTTACAAAGCATTACATTTAATGAGTAGCAGTTACAAAGCAAAATTCAGCAACTAATGAACAAGCTATGCACTTTTGATGGTGATTTCCAAGGTAGGGTTTGTTCTTTGTTTGGGTTTTTTATTTCTTCCCCTAAAATAAACCTACTTTTGTAAAATATGGGAAGACATTTGCTGCTGCTGAAATTAGCAGCAACAGCAGTCCCTCAGATACCAGCTTGTGGCAAGCTTTAAGTTAGTTTTAAATCTTGATTGATGCTGAATCAGTCCTATGTAGAGACAGGCTGCTTTATACAATTCAGAACATTTTCTTTTAAACCTCTACATACACAGAAAATGCAGTTAGGAAGTCTTTTGCAGCTCCTGGACAAAACTCACCAAAGAATGTCTGAAGCAAAACCGCCCATGAACCCTGTGAAACTGCAACTGCCGCAGCCTAAGTAACTGAGAACAAACCCCAAAATTATCTTGGCCCATCTGGACCCCCATGCACCATTTTATTAAGACAAGGGCAACCCTATAAAATGAAAAAAAATGTTTCTGAAATATCTGGGTTTTAATAACTGCGGACAGATTTTTAAGAGCACATTAATGAAAAAAATATTTATTCATTGTTTTAAGGTAAGGTTTATTTGATAGAAAATGTAGAGAAGCAAACACAGTTTAGCCAACACAGGTTTCTGATAAAATTAGTGCATTAGCAGCTCTCTAATAAAAAAGTATATTAAGTCAGGGCTTGAAGGGGTTTAGAGACCACCTAAAGCTCTGTGGTTGGTTAGAGATTACCACTTAGACCAAAAATTTTCCCATTAAACAAGAACTCTAATTCTTTGGAATGGATATTCAAGGTTTTATTTTTAGTTCTCTCTTCCAACAGCCAAGAAATTATAAATAAATTCCAAAATCAACATTTCGAGTCTTGGAGGATACTTCAGATTTGATAAAGCCAGTACCTTACATGAGAAATATTTAGAAAAATTATTATGGACCAACTCCACACAACCCGCCTCACTCACAGCAAATTGCCAAGTAGCCTTCACATTATCTGCTGCAAAATTTGAGTGCTTGACATGGCTACAAATGAAAAGGAAATGAGCATCACTTAATCTGAGAGAACAGAAACCAATTCATCTGCTTTCTGAACTCTTGCTCTTGGCAACCATTTGATTTGTCTGGCTCCTTCCCTTTTCCCGCTTTTATATGCCTTTGTTCTCCAGTTTAAGTTTTGCTCATCCATGCACCCCTGAAGGCATTTGCTGTTACATTTTTGGTTCAAATGAGTTTACAGGTTTGGTCCCTAAACTTCTGAATCACTCAGACTAACATTCTAAAAAACTGAACTCAAGTGCTATGTTCCACAAGGATATAAGCAATTGATAGGAAGCTGATCTGAGCCCATACTGTAATGGAGAAATAACATAATCACTGCATGCGCATTCATACAAAAATATTTACCTCGTTAGTATTTCAAAACATTCCTGCAATCATCAAAAGATCCATGTCTTACATAGACTCTCATTTTCCTTAAAATCCAAGTAAGCTTCTTGCCTTGGGACAGAAGAGGTTTGAAAAAAAGACACACACAAAATATTTCCCTATTTGCTGATAGTTTTTCTCCTCTACTCCCTTCTCCAGTACCAGTGGCCCCATTTCCTATCCCTCTCCCTATCCCTTGTATCATCTCCATACCAAGTCTCCAGACAGGGCTGAGCAGTGCATGAGCAGTAGCTTCTACAACACGGGGACCTAACCCCCAGCACAGCCTGCCCCTGTCCCTCTCTCCCCTGCACACAGGTGGGGGCCCCAACCGATTCTTTGGCACAGAAACTAATTGCAACAATTAGCCAACTACTTGCCCCTGACCCAACTGATTCCAGTGTTGTTTGTACAAGCATTATTCACTTACTATCCAGCATCCTAGACCAAATGTCCCAGCATAATGCTCTAGAACCCACAGTCTCCCCATCCTGCTGAGAAGGACCACCCTGAAATATGTGGGGACAAACCCACTACTCTTATTTACACTGAATTAGGGCTCAGGTAATAGCATATTTCTTTATAAACATAGTTGAGTACCCGAGAGAGACTGACTGTCAGTTTAAAGGTGTCTTTTGATCACAAACAGTCCATGCTCTGCATTCAGACAGACCCCTCGATTTGGTTGCTTCTCCATCAGCAACACCTGCTGCTTTAGTCAGCACATTCCTGATGGCAACAAGGGGCTTCAAAGAAAGCATCTTTGCTTGAATGCTCCACAGGTAATGGGTGACAATTCTAGAAGGCAGAGACATAGAGGAAGGAGAAAGACAAGGCAGAAGGCAGAGAAGGACTGGGCAGTGGGGCTGACAGCACCTCTGGGGCACCCTAAAGCAGCTGAAGTGCTGCTGGTACATCTGGCTCGGCCACCCCGAGCCCCATCCCACCCAGCAGCCCCAAGGCAGGGGGGTGGCTTCAGGCCCCAGAGAAGGTGCCCATGCAGGTGTGCTACAACTGCTAGGGTGGGAGGTTTTCTGTATCACCCAAGGTAAAACATCCAAATGCAAACACCAAATTTATTTCCTTGGGAGTTTCTGTAGGTGGCTTTACAAACCAGAGTGCTCTCTGCAGTCTCTGACATTTTAAATCAGATCCTGCCTTTGGTACCCCATTTTAAGTTCAAAATACTCCTGTTTGTTTTTAAAAAAGGAAACAACAAACCCCATACTAGCTTACCTGTTGAATAGGCTGTCAGTGACCACCTAAAAGGGAGTGTGCCATGGAACATACTAACTATATGGGTACAGCATCTGCTTTAATTGGATTGATTGGGATGAGACAATATTAAATATTTTATTCTCAGAAATCCAGATCCAAATCAGAAATTGCTTCCTGGATATTTATGGCATTGGATTTTTTTAATCCTTTTTTTTTTTTTTAAATAGCATTCTAGTATAACACTGTGTAGCTAAATAGTTGTATGCTATTCTCAGTCCAAGAACTGCAAATGATACAGCATCAATCATTAGGAATGTTTAAACTATTCAACTTAGACAACACAAACATTCTTCTAAAGACTAACAGTTGCGAGGTCTGTTGACAGTGACTGAAGTGGTCAGGTACAGCTGAAAACAAGAGAATTCAGGTGAGCTTTGAGGATCCTCTCCAGAGGATCTCTGCCCTCTTCTCCCCTGCAGAAGTTCCCTGTACAATCACCGTGGCTGGTATCCAACAGCAGCTCCATCCAGGGGGACCAGCAGCCTCTGGCAGGTAGAAAATGGCACTGTGTACTTGTAATGATTTTAATGATCGCTCTTAAGAGTCAAAATGCAAGGGTTTGTTTTGGTTTTATCATTCTCAGACTGCACCTCTGATTTACTAACGTGGCATAATAAGTTGGGTCACTTGGGAGGGATGGAAAGTGAGAGGTGCTGATGGGCTCTGCTCAAATGGAAGCACGGGCTTTCTGCGAAGGTAAGCGATTTAGCACCATGTAGCAAACCAAGGGCTGCGCCCGAGGCCAAATGCTGTTGCTGTTCACACATAATCCTTACTCTCGCAACAAGTCACTTCATTTGGTTGTAGGAAGGTGCCCTCTGCACTGATATTCAGGAAAACTGTCAGAGAGTCCAGGTGAATAGCTTAAGACCAGTCAAATCTAGCATTTAATGCAAAAGCTTCACACAGCAAGACAAGTTTATAGAAAAAAAAAAAATCAAGCCAATCTCACCCAAGATAAAGACTGTTTTATATTACTGAAGGTAGGTCACATCCAGTAACGATAATAATCCAAGAGAAGTTTTTGGTACCACACAATCCAGCTGGCTGAGTCAGCCACGAGCACGCATGAAAACCAACACTGAAGATTCCTGGGTACGGACAGCTCCCACCAATGCACTCACACTTTTGGTTACTCAACAAACGGGACACCTGTCATTTCAGTTAGCAGCATAGAGAGGAATTGCTCCAATCCCGGGCACTACACGCAGCACCGCTTCTGAGGCTCGTTCCAGTGTGGAAAAGAGAGGTTGTGACTGGTGCCACATACAGTCAGCGAGAGGCAGAGGAGCGCAAAGGGAGCCTATGCCACCAACAGAGCACAACCACCGAGTTTGTCTGTAAGACCACCATCTCACTTCCCTTTCAGAAAGTGCCTTGTTTATTTAGTTTTTAATGGTATGGCATAAGGACTCGTGTATTTTATAGATAGATACCAAACTGGTATTATCAAAATAAACCCATCTGTTTTATAAACCCGCTATTTACAAAAACGGTTTCTGAAGTTTTTTTGTTTTGTTTTGTTTTTTTAACAAAAATTAAACTATACACCAATCTAAGTTACAGAAACAAAAATAACCTTTATAAGATCACATGTATAAAACAAGAAATGAAATGTGTTTTTATTTAAGGCAATACTGGGCTACTTCACAAATCACCACCTCAAATATATACACTGCTCCACACTACTAATTTTCTATCACATTCACAACGGATTCTTTAATACCAAATATTGTTTTAAATCTTCAATGTAGCAAACTATTTTTATTCACATTTCCATTTTTATTATGGAATCATAAATGCTTTGTAACCAATTAAAAGCAATGAAAAATGTAGCTATAAGAAAACTATTATATTTATGTGTTAACTACATATCAATATCATCCATAGATACTGGATGTTAGAATTTACAAAAATGAGAGTGTGTCAGTACGTTTAACCTATGAAATGTGATCTTATCCAGCTTTTCTTCTGTAAATAAATGTTTTATGCAAAATAAACTGGATATGGCAGACTTAGCTAGCTTTAGTTCAAAAGTTCTTAATTTAAAATGATTAAAGGACAGTTTTAAAAACTTGCTCACTTAGTTACAAATTAAAATTCCGAATATAAATGTGTCATTTAATAGTTTAGACTTACAGACTGCTGGTGGCAGCAAATGATTTACAATAATAAATATATACAAAAAAAATGTATCTACAAATAAAGAAAACTGTTATACATGAGAAGTAACCTGGTGAAAGATACCAATCACAGACAATTCACAAAGATTTAGTTTATGGAAAGGACAATCTGATAGAAAGTTGAGGTCTTGATCAAGTATTTACAAAACTGAAGCAATTAATTTCTTCAAGTCCCATAGGGATAAAAACAAATAAGACATTTACATGACTCATGTCATGTTTTTTGCTAGATTAAATCACTTCAAAATAAAAGAGCTCCACAGTTACTAGCATGCTTGATGGCTTCCTATTCAAAATAAATTCTATTACAGGTCATGGTTAAACACATTAGGTTTTCAGTATTTTGATTCACCTTCCTCAGTACCCAAAACAATTACTTTTGCAGCTATAACCTCTGGATTATCCTCCCAACGTCCTTCAAGCTTTCTCAAACTGACAACAGGTTTCATTTCCTGAAGCTGCTTCAACACACGCTCAGAGCAGTCTTTAAGAGTCTTCTCTAACACTATCTTTACATTATCACCACATGGAAGCCGTGATGGGTTGGCAAACGGTACAAGGGTTTCCGTTTCAGAACACGACCACGAGACGCTTTCACTTGCTACAGGAGCCTTCTCGCTGGCTTTCCGCGAGTTTGAATGGGATCCTTTTTTGGTTCCGCCACTGTGGTGTTCTCTTTCAGAGTTCTTCTTTTGCTTCACAGCAGATTCTTCAAGGAACTTGAGGAATGACACTTCAAAGCCCATTGGCTTGAACGAGCTCCAGTCAAAAGCCGCAGGTTGCTCCTCAGCCGTTTGAATGGCAACAGCAGTCTCTTCCTCCTTGTGCAGGCTACTCACACCACTGGGCAGTGCCTCCTCTGTCTTCTCAGCTCTCTTTCTTTTACTCTGAGATACATTTTTTTCTTTATTTGCTCTTTTCAGGTTGTTTGATTTTTGCTTCTCTGAGGGGCAGGAGCTGGTCTCCTGCAAGTCACTATTTACACTGGAAGAGATTTTTGCTTGATTTTCAGCAGTTGAAGAATCCTCATTAATTAGTTTAGTAATGAATAGTTCTGTCAGTTCATCCACTTCATCCTTCTCACCTTTTTCAGTTTCCTTTTGTGATAAGGTAGTTGTGCTTGAATCATTATTGCTTGCTGTCAAACTCGGTTCAGGCTCTTTCACATCAGTTTTTTTATCAGTTTCCTCCTGCTCACAAGAGGCTTCCTTTACTTGGGAGACAGAGTGTTTTTTAGATACAATAAGAAGATTCCTGTGTTGAGAAGTAAAAGCTTTGGACAGTTTGTGACATTTATAATGTCTTATGATGTTACTTTCACTTGTGACTACAGATGAACATCCCTTTATCATACACGGATACTGAGTTATGAACCTGCTTGTACATTCCGATAAGGCATCGTTTCTGGCCTTTATTAAATACACGTACTTGCCACGTTTCAGTGAATAAGCCTTATTTTCCTGAACCTGTATTCCTTTTGAGGTTTTGTTTTCCAAGCTCATGTTTTTCTTTCGTTTTGTTTTCACTGACAGCCTGTTACCCTCTTTTCCCGATCTGTTTTTGAGTCCTCTCTGTTTAGACTTCAATGGTTTCTCCTGATTTGCTTTGCTTGAAATATTTTCCTGGCCTGGTGTCAGCCTCCTGGGTCTTATTAGATGATCTTTATGCCTGTCATTATGTTTGTTAAAAATATGCCTCAAGAGGTTAGACCTAGTAGCGTAAATGCGGTCACAGCCTTCACAGTCACACTTGAACATGCCATCATCTTCTACTTTGTTTGGCTTTATCTCAACACTGTGCTCCGTCTCAAGATGCACAACATAATTCAGATATGCTGTAAACGAAGACTTACACTGAGACTGGTCACAAAAAAACCTTCCCACCTCTGGAGCTGATTTCATGCTTCCAATTTGCTCTGGGGTCATGTCATGAAGCTTCATATAATGCTGTATCAAGCTGGTAACTTCCTGGAAGATACGAGAGCAGTCATTCACCTCACACCTGAACTCTCTGACAGCAGGTTTGGTTTCCACCTCCTCACGTTCCTCTTTGCCTTGCTCATTCTCCTCCTCCACTTCAGCAGAGAAAGCAGGGAGGTCTGATTTGTGCACAGCTTGGTAATGAAGAATTAGGTTTTGTTGTATTGTGAAAGCTGCAAAGCAGCCCTGATGGACGCACCGGTACGGTCTGTAAGGGCTGTACCTAGGGGGAAACTCCAGAGATTTTGTTACGGGCTTCCTACCATTCCTCTCCTCTTTCTCCTTCCTGTGCTTCCTAGCCTTGCGTACTTTGGCTTGTTCCTGCGTACTATCATAAGACGCTGGATTGTGCTGCTCCAGTGGAACAGAAACCACCTGGGGAGGTTTTTCCAGTCTTTCAGGAATATTATTTTCTGGTAGAAGTTTTTCCAATACTTTTACAGGCTCTACAGCTTCCTTTATTTGAGTTTCTTTGACCAATGGAGCTACAGTTTTGTTTTCCATTACTAGTGTCTGCACAGTTTTTATTTCAACGGGTTGTGGGGCTGTGTTTACAGTTTCATTTTGAGATCTTCTGCCATAAGGCCTCTTAATTTTTAATTTTACCATCTCCTCTGTTGTAAAATGATGCACGAGCTGACAGTGTGCTCGGAGATTAGAGTTTCTTGTGAATGTTTTTGGACAGGTAGCTACAACACATTTGAATGGGGCATACTTCAGTTGATGTTTCTTTATTTCTAGTATCATTTCTGCAGTGTACTGATGGATCTTGCCATAGTGTTTAAATAATGCATCTTTTGTCATAGCACTGTAACTGCAGCCAGGATTCTGACATACAAAAGGTTTATTAACTCTATCACTAAATTGAATGTTAGTTGCTTCTGGAGATAGCTGGATGAGGGGCTTATTTTCAATTGATACAACAGGAACTGCTGGTGCTAGCTTATCTGCTGGAGGACACTGAGAAACAGTCCCAGAGATGGGAAGGGGAGACTCATCTTCTAGCTTCAGTTTTTGCAAGCCTTCCAAAATTTCTGACATTTGAGTATCATCCTTTTGAGGTATCTCAGACTGAGCAGAGCTACCCTTTGCAGCCGCAGCAGACCCTCTGTGCACAGCAAACTGAGTAGAAGTCTGCAGTTTTACACTGTGTGCAGAATTTTCTGAAGCAGCCTGGGAGTTATTTACTTGCAAGTTCTGCCCTGAAGCAGCAACAGTATCCTGAATTTCAGTTTTCACCTCAAGCATCTGTGAATTCATAGCAGTTTTAATAATTTCCAGGGTTTTTTCAAAGTTCTGCATAACACTGTCCTGTGAAATCTGTTCTTCTGAATTTGCTTGCACACAAGAATTTGCAGACATCATTTGGGAATCCCCATTTTCAGTTTTTACTGTTAAAGGGGGCAGAACTGTATGAGCCTCAAGATTTGTTTTGAAATTCTCTTTGATACTGGCCATGAATAACTGATTGTCAACATTACTAAGTTTCTGTGCAAGATTTTCCACCACCGTTTGAGAGCCACAATTTGCCAGCGAGTTGGACTGAAAACTTTCTCCCTGTATTTGCGTGTTTCCTTCAGTGCTTTTGGTTAGAAATCCCATTACTGTTGCATTGTTTACTGCTAATTTCTGTGGTGTATTGGGCACAAGTAGGGGTGTAGGTGTTTTTCTCTTCCTCTTTGAAGAGCTGGTTCCCTTCTTATTTAAGTTGCTTGATCCTGAATTCTTGGGACTACTTATAACTGAAACTCGTGAACTGTTCCCTGCAAAATTTTGTGCTGCTGCAACAGCGTTAGAATATGAGCTAGGGCACAAGCCATTTTCAATGGTCTTTAGCATTAGGCCCTCTGTTGTAAAACCAGGCAAACTCTTGCATTCGTTTAGTGGAGGAATTTTGGCATTGAGGGTCCTGTTTTGGTCTGTCAGCAGGGTACTGGGGTTACAGACTGTCTGCAGCAGAGACGGCGTGGCTGAGCTGGGGAGAACCGCTGCATTCATCTGAGTTGTACCAGAGACACAACTTGTTGTAACCACACGTGGAAGTACTTCTGTGTTATCAAAGCTACTTGGGATGCCTGTAGTTTCCAAGGTTTGCTTTATAATTTGATTACCTTCCTCATTCCCACTGGTATTAAAGTTAGTCACATTGGCCCGTGGAAACATAGTCTGCAGTGCAGAACGATTTTCAGCTGCAAGTAACTGGAGAAATGATGGATCTTTAAAACATGTCTCTGGATTGAAAGCAGACTCCTGAGGTTGCTGCAAGTTTAATGAATTTGAAGAAAGAATCATACTGGCAAGCAAAGATTGTCCATTAGCCTGCAGGGCTTCTGGAGAAATTTCTGATCCTTCAAGAGGCTTACAGTAAGACCTCTTAGATAAGTGACCACCAAGTGATCTAGGATTAGTAAAAACTCTGAAACACCTGCTACAGATAAATTTGCCATCTCTAATTATTGCTGGCCACTTTGCTCGCTTGTTATGTTTTGGCTTCCTTTCTTTCCCATTTGACCCTCTGCCACGATCTTTTTTCACCTTTTCTGAAGCTGGGTGCTGAGAACTAGTTTCACTGAAGTTATTTTCACTACTCAATTGTGAGGGAAATATTTGATCAACACTTTCCTCTTTTGGGAAGGTAGAACTAGTGTTTCCTTCTAGTTGCAAAGAAAAGCTATTTGTGTTATTTTCCAGTTGGGAGAAGACTGAATTTGGAGGATTTTCTGCTGATGAAGGAAAAAGAGACATTGGACCATTTTCTGCAGGCAAAGGAAGAAAAGGATCTGAACC